GCAGGCTCTGCCTGGGACGGAACGCCATGTCCACGGAGTCTCCCGGAAGCAGCTGGCTGTGCCCACATGACCCCAGCGCGTTCTCACAGTGCAGTGCGCTGAGTAACGTCATCCAAAGCCTTAGTGAAAGCTGGAGGCAGGAGAGTGTAAGCACGTGACAGCGTGGCACGTCTTCAAACTGGACAAAGACTGCAGACAGCTTCAAAACCGCCCAGGGGGCAGGGTAGCAAGTAACTCAGTGCCCCCACGCCTGAGCCCCACGGGGGCAGAGCTGTCCAGGTGGCTGGAGGTGCTGGTGGCGTCTCAGCGGATGACCGTCACGTGGGCAGCGGCGATGTCCAGGTCCGTCTTGGACGGGTACACCACCTTCAGGTGCCCCTCCTCGTCCACCACCCGCACCTGCTCCACCACCAGGGGGGCGCTCCCGTCTCGCTCAGGGCTGGGGTGCCTGCCGGGCTCCAAGAGGTGTCCGGAAGTGGCGTCTGCTTCAGTGTCTGAGACAGAGCCCTCCTCCTTGTTTTCTAAGGTGTATCTGTTGATTTCTGCCATTTTCTGCAAATGACCCAGAGATCAGAGGCAGCCCTGGGAGGCGCCGGAGCCCCACGCGGTCCTCTGCCCGTCGCCTTGGGCGGGGCTACTCACCAGAACGAGGGCGTCCATGATGTCCTTGCAGACCTGCAGGCTTGTCGCACTTGTCACTTCCAGAAACAAATCGCACGTTGTTTTCTTAATCTTAAAGAGAAACCGGGAACGTTTCAGAAAAGAGTCAAGTTACCAACAGCGACACCAGCAACTGCAACACCGAATCTGGGAAACCTCACACACGTGCCACTCCAGCCGACAGACATAGACTGCGGGCTGCGCGCACCGACGTGGTGTGGCCCAGGCCGGGCCGTGCGCGCCTCACGGTGCATGGAAGACGCAGGGACGCCTACTCTCAGCCCACCTTGGTCTTCTCGCTGTTGGTTATCGGAGGGAAGGAAATGACGTCGCCATCGGTGTCCAGGAGGCAGGGGTACTGCTCCTTCCCGTCCAGCAGGTGGAGGTATCTGTGCAGAGAAGCCGTTAACAGTGAAGCTGCCACAGTGCCCGCAGGTTAAACCGGGCAAATCCAAGCCCTTGACCCCAAGAAGACCTAGGCACGCCCCACAGCTCAAGGCACAGAGTGTCCCGAAACCGTGTTCGCGGGGACGGCATCTGGGCTAAGGAGGCAGGGCCAAGGCCTGCGGTCATTCCCAGCTGGGGGTGTGGGGGTTCGCCTCCTCGGGCTGTGGGTGACTCGGTTCCCCCACCACCTGCGTCCTTGGTGCCAAGAGCCACCCTCCTGAGGCAACACAGGCTCCCTCGGAAGTGGCGTCCACGCCACACAGTCTCAGGCACCGCCTTTCACCCCACCCGCAGCGAGGCCCTCACAGGAGAGGGACGGACTTCCGGGAGAGGCCTCAGTCCCTGGCAAGGTCAGGCGCTCCCTAACTGGCGGTGGACGATGGAGGACGGGCCGGGACCAGGGGCCACCTGTGCAGGCCCGAGACCGTCTGCCTCTTCCTCTGCTTCCGGTGCTCCTCCGCCTCCGCCTGCAGCTGCCGCACCAGGTCCTTGGCCTTGATCTCCTTGCGCCCCAGGGGGACGATCTTGGGGGTGAAACCTCAGGTCAGCTCATGTGGAGACACTCTCGGCCACTCACTCCAGCAGCCCCGCCCCCGCCCCTCCTCCTTGACGATGGGAGAGCCGGCTGCCCCACGGCTGCCATTCTGCCCCCGCATCATGCATGCTCACATGTGCCTCAGAGGTCACCTAGGAGCCCCAACACCCAGACACCCAGACACCCCAGTGCTTACACTGAGCTAAACCTCAAACCCAACACACAGCTGCGTCTCCAAGGCTACAGATCCTGGAAGGCCAAGGGCCGGCCAGCAGCGCCCGTCGAGCAGGCACGGGATCCGCCCCACCCAGGGCCTCACGCCCGTGCAGGGGCCAAGAGAACGGCCGGACCTGCCGGGACAGCCGGCCAAGGTCAGGCCCCACTGAGGCTTTGCCATTGGGATTCAAAGCAGGAGTTTCCGGTTTAAAGCGAGTGAGCAAGTGAAGGAACCCCTTTACCGGTCCCACTCCTGAGCCTGTGCCGTGGCGTGAACAGGCCCCTGCTGCCCGGGAGCCGCGAGGGCGAGGAGCCGCCGGCTACCCACAGACGCTCCGGCACCAGAACCACCCCCCCCAGCCCGGAGGGGCGGG